TTCTGAGAAAGGTCCTTTTTAAAAAAGTGCATCCTTTGCGTTACTGCAACATCATTGACACGTGCCCCCAAGTCCAGCTCTGTCCCTTGTCTTCTCTCCGCGACCCGCCTTTTGTTCGTAGCCTGTTACTGAAACTTCTCGGGAAGGCCTCGGGCGTCCGCCTCCTAATGGCCAGGTCGCATGGACACGTGTCAGGCCTTACCTCGTCGGATTTCTTGGTGAGCTTGCCTCTGTCATTCCTCCCTCCGCGCGGGACATCATTCCCTCAGTTCTGTGACTCCAGACGCCCAGATTCTTCTCTCTGCCGTCACTCTTCCTTGTCCTTTATCACGAGCTCGTCTTCGGTCCCTGTCCGCAAGTCCCAGGGTGCCGTTCGAATGCTGCTTCTCTTGGCGCTCACGTTTTCTTGCAGTGGGTGCGCCCCGTCTTGTCTGCCGGTGGCCGGTGCTCAGATCTGTATCTATAGTCCAGAACGTTCCATGAGTTTTACACTCATGTCTCCCACGCTTTCTGGACCTGCCCTCCTGGGTGTCCAGAGCCCTGTCCTCACCCTCCCTCTCTCCCTGTCCGTAGAGCTTCCTACACAGCCGTGCAGGGAATGCCTGCCATCCGTGCCGGGAGCTTGGCGCCGTCCTGGAGGCCCCCACAGCATCTCAGCCGGGCCTGGCTGACTTCACCTGCTCCATCACTCTTAAACCTTTCCTGTTGTTTGCTGCCCTCTCTCATTTTAGGCCCTCCGCGTTGCTTGTCTGTACCACTGGAGCGCCTAGATCATTGGTTCCCTGCCTTCAGCCTCGTTCCTTTCAAATTCACCCCCACTAGTTCCCAGAGTGACATTTCCAGATGTGAAGTTGGCGAGCCGTCACCCACGCTGGACACCTGCCAGAGACTTGCGTTGCCTGAAGTCACTTTCTGACACAGCGTGTACCCCACTGTGGTCTGGCTGCTACGCACCCTCGTCTTGTCAGCTTCCCACCCACCCCTGCCTCGCTGCCGTCACCCAGGATCTGCCGGCGTCCCTCCCAGCCCACCATGCTGTTTCTCAGTTTTGGAAGTTGATGATTAGATCTGGGCTGCCTTCAGTCCAGGAAATCAAAGGATACTAAACCATACCCCCACCCCGATGTGGGGCTTCCAGGGGAGATAGATGCTCAGGAAATAATGGCGAAGGGAAATCAGATCATCCCTGTATTGCTGGCCAGGTCGGGGGCCTCAAATGCAGTGCAGATGAAGTGGTCAGGCTGGGGGGACTGGGAGACTCTGGGCAAATTCCTTCACCGTTCTGTACCTCAGTCTCCTTATCTGTAAAACAGGGATAGTAATTGTACCTGCCACATGAGGTTGTTAGGAGACTTACAGGGATTAATCCATGTAAAACACGTGGAACTGTCTGGCATAGCTATCAGCAAATGTTAGTTGGAATAGTAGTAATTATTATGTTAGATCACATTACTTTGGTTAATAATCTCAAAAGCTCCCAATAAATCACGTCCCTTTTGAGATCCAGCGTCATTTGCTCTCTGCGAGTATCTGACTTAGAAACCGAGGCTTAGGATTTAGTTTGCCTGGATAGTATTTAATCTCTGCATTTGACGTCTAAGTCCAAGCGCTTGTCAGGACGCAGAGAGCCACAGGTCTCTCTCACGCGTCACTGTGTCCCCAGGGTGGGAGAACGGCACCTGGCTCACAGTATGGCATCAGGAAATACATGCTTCAGAAACGGAATCTCAGGACTTGCGATATCAGTCATGCAGTCAGACGTCATGCCTGGCAGTGGGGTGGGGGTGCCATCCACTGTCTCCGTCACCTGCCACAGCCCAGGCGAATTTCCTGCCTGCCTCAGTTACCCATGGTTACGGCGCCAGGAGCCCAAGTAGAAGTTAGGTGCCGACTGATTTCACCTGAAAGGCTATGACAGGCATAAGGGGTAGAAGCCAAGGCCAGTGAAGGAAAGCACCGAGGGGCTTCATGTCCCCAACCCCAGAGCTGTCGAACAGTGCGAGGGGCCGCGGGGCTTTGACCTCCCACGCCTGACAGAGGCTAAGCTCACGGGCTGTCAGAGGCCGCGGAAGAACGTCTCCTCGTGGGAGGAAGGCTGGTCAAAGTCAGTCTTTAAAAGCGTCCCTCCTGACTTTAAGCATTAATGATTTTCACAGAAATCGCCAGCCCAGAAGAGGATTTCTCATTTGGGCTTACCTGTCCATTTGTTGCCTCTGCTCATGTTTTGGCAGCTTTTCTTCTCATTAGCAATTCTACGAAGGAGAGGGCACGGGGAATGAAAGGAGTTGACACTCTCATGAAGCAATCTATCTGCTTTGCCACAAGAAGGATGAAAGTGGCATTCAAGCCTGAAGTTGGGTTTGTAGGACAATTTCTCACTCCAATTGTCCCGTCCTGACTCTGTGCCCCATTGCCCACCACTCAGCCCTGGCAGTAGAGCATTTTCAGTTGTTCTTTTTGATTTGTTGTGCAAATGCTAATGTTCCAAAAATAATTGCATGATATTTGCTTATTTAGAGAGAAAAGCATGAAAATGCTTTGGCCTTTATTTTAACTTTGCAGATAATCATATATTGGCATTTTAGACCTCTTCTTCTCTGCTCAGTAGACAGATGAGGGAGCCTGACTGATTTTTGCCTTTGTTCTAGGTTCTTTTGTTTAATAAACCCCTGTAGGCTAAACCCACAGGGTCCTCTTAGGTGGAGGACCAAATGTAGCACAATGCATCCAACCAAAGTGTGGCCTTCACCTAGCGGGAGTCCCTGGGAGCATTTCAGGGCAGGGTGGCTCACCAGACTTACTTCCCTATGTCTTTCTCCCTGAGAATGACGCTTCTGGCTCTTTTCCTGTCTAGCATCTTTCTCTGTGCTGGACTGACAGGCGGAGAGGAGCAGGGGTGAATTCTGGAAAGGTTTCGGAGGACGCCTGGGCCAGACTCAATAATTAGTTGGATAGTAAGAGAGAAGAAAAAGTCTAGGATAACACTCAAGTTGTCTTTGGGTGAGTAGCTGATTTTGCAGAAAGATAGCGAGTCTGAAATTGCGTATGTTTACTATGAGGTGCTGATAGAACATCCCTGTAGACACCTGGAAGACAGTTGACAATTTCTGTGGTCCAGGAAAAATCGTAGCTGGATATGTAGACCCAGCTATCACCAGTGTGAAAATGACCATTGGAACCACGTAGAGCAAAACAGGCCCCGGGACAGAACCCTGGAGAAAGCCAGCGTTTAACCTCAGGCCTGGGAAGGGGATGTAGTATATAGACTGAGAACGTTCAGAGCACAGGGAGAACCTGGCAACAGCAACGTCACTGTGTCACAGATGTCAGCGGGAGATGGCAGCCAGCTAAAGGAGATGGGAGGTAGGGGTGAGGTCTGAGAAGGGAGCCCCGCCTGTACCTGGAGGAGTGGGGTGCCTAGGAGATCTGCGAGGCCTGAGAGAGGGGGGTGAAAATGGGGGGGGCAGTGGGCAGGAACAAGAGAGAGGGGGGCGGGGAGAGGGCTAGGGCCTCGAAGGGGGGCGCACAGGGACTTAGACAAGGGGGAGGTAGAAGGTGTTTCTTCTCCTTTTCTTCTCTTCCCCTCCTCCCAGCACCTTTTCTCCTCCTTTCCATGGAACGCCTTCAGCATATCTGTAGACTTGAAAGGAAGAAGCCGTTGAAAGGGGGCTGAGGAAAGCATCCAAGAGGAGAGGGCCTTTCCCCGACTTGCTGCAAGCAGCTTTCACTGACCCGCTGTTGCTGGTCCAGGCCTTCTGGGTGACAGTGCCGCAAGATCGATGAATCGGACCATGAGGAGCCAGGGTGGCTTTGAGGTCTTACTAGACACAGTGGTGCATCAGCTCCCACAGGCACAGCGTCTGTTGTGTAAAATTGCTACTAAAAACAGTAGATGCCAGTTTCTGTGGCATCTTCATTCTCACAACAACCTTACAAGGTAGTGCTGTTGTCTCCATTTTCCTGATGAGAAATTCAGGGCGCAGAGAAGTCTCCGCACCTGACTGAGGGTGACTGTGGGTCAGCGCCGAAGGTCACTTGAACTTGCCCCGCCTGGGTCCCCTGCGCCGTTCTGCCTGCGCCACCGTCTCCCATTCCCGTGGCCGGGAAGGTGCCTGTGTTACCAAACGGGCTGAGTGCAAAACGGGGGTTTCTGTAGCACTCTGCTATCAAGTTGTACAGCACATGGTTCGGGGGTGACACGTTGATATTTTCCCGACCAGGAGTAAGGGCCTGGGAAGTGACAGTGCCCTGGATGTGCGTCCATCACTGAGCCGGTGACCGGGTCCCTCTGGGCTCGCCGAGGGCTGCGCAGCAACCCTGTCTCTCACCACTCCTGATGAGTGCCCCGGAGCAGCGTGCAAGGTGACAGGCAGGCCTGCACGACCTGTTTGTGTCCTTATCCTGAAAGTGCCGTGTTGTGCCCTGGTCGGGGTCAGAAATGGATTTGAGCAGGTGGATTTCCCTAACAGCAGGCAGAGTGATGGGCTGGCACTTGTGTATTCTTGAGAACTTGGGTTCTCACAGTAAATACCGTGGAGGAAACCATTTAGTTGAAGAGGCAAGTACAGCAGGGAATTAATTTTAAGAGGAGCTAGTTTGAAAGGCATGCACTTAAAAAAAAAGAGAGAGAAGAGGGATAGATCACAGTATTGCTGTTTCGTTATTCTTAAGCAACAACTGTAAATTCTGGATTAGCCAAGAAACGAAAAGAAAAACAAAAGCAACCAAATTTAGCAGAGACCCCTCCTGGTCTGAGCGTCCCTTGCCCAGTCACTTGGCTGCTTCCACAAAGGCAGGACTCAGCATCCAAGGTGACACTTTTCCTCGAGTGTACCCCACGGGGAAGGGCCTGCCCATTGCGGGCTTCTGGGGTCTCAGACACGCACAGAGGGAGAGCGGCGAAAGAGGACATTTTGGGGAGCCGAGCCTCTTCCTTTCCCTCGGGGACTTGATCTCAGTGGGGCGCCCCTTTCCCTAACCCCCTCCTCCTCTCCCTGCAGCCTTTCCGCTGCGCCCACTGCCATTACTCGTGCAACATATCCGGCTCTCTGAAGCGCCACTACAACAGGAAGCACCCCAACGAGGAGTATGCCAACGTGGGCGCCGGGGAACTGACCGCTGACACGCTCCTTCAGCAAGGTAAGCCACGCGCTGCCCCCGGGGCCCCGCTCCTCCCCTCCAGGCCGTGTCCCCGCTGGGGAGAGCGGTGGCTGGGGAGAGCGGTGACGTCTGACAGTTGAGACCTACTCCCCGAATGTTTAGTGTTGCTAATTCTTCTTCATCACTGTGGCATCCTCCTCATCGTCCATCGGCCTGTCTCAGGATAACATTAGAGCAGCCTTAACGTGCATCTAAAATGAAACAAGTAATGATTTACCTGCAGACTTGACCCCATTCCCCCTGACCCTCGTTACCTTCTGTTCTTTGTCCGTGCATACTCGTACATTTTGCAGACATGGACGTCCGTGGCTTCCTTCTTGTACTGACCACTGATGACATGTTGTTTTCCTGATTATAATTCCTCAGGGCTTTTTGTAACACAGCGTACAGTGGCAGCACCTCCTTTTATTTACCCATACCCCTGTTGTTGAACGTTTAGGGTTTCCAGATTTTTCTATATGGCAGTTATAAATAATGCCATGGTAAACATATTTGTAGGTGAGCTTCTTTAGATTATCCAGACATATTTATTTGAGTGCTCAGATTTCTTACTCACCCTGAAAAGGAAAAACCATTTAGAACATTTAAATTCAAGAGAATGGATGAAAACCTCTAACACTGAAATGTTTGGGGGAGTTTTGCTTCTTTTTTTGCAATAATTGATCACATATTCCCACTGGAGAGGGTTTAGCGCAAGTACGGCTTCCATAAGGACAGAGGCTGTTGAATTTATATCTGCAATTTGGTGACACAACTAAAAAAGGATTGCACCCCTCAGTATGTGAGTCACTTCTCTTTTCCTGAATGCTGTGTCTGTTTGAAGCTGAAGACATTTTTAGAAATCTGTCCCCGGTTAACAGGGATGTGGGGTTGCAAACTCTGGGATGCGCCGTTTTCCCACTCGCTGCAATTGCCACAAAGTGCATTTCGGAATAAGACAAGTGAATTGACTGTATCCTTCAGCACTTCCGGTGACAGGGCTGATGGACGGAAATGGATGAAGAGCATAAAAAAATAGAAACCCAGGATAATTTGAAAGCCGTCCATCTGGGGTAACGGGGAGCGTGTGCCTCGTGTTTGCCTCAGTGGCAGTTTCGTGGCCCCGGGGAGCAGGGCTGTGAGGCGGGGGTGGGTCTGTGTTGTCCCTTAGGTGCTCATTTGGGTGGGTTACTGCGCCTGTCCGCCTCAGGCCCTCCACCCTGTAATGGAGTTCACAGCCGCCGTCTCACATGATGACCGGAGAACACTTGAGTGTCCAACACTCAACACGTTAGCATTCCTTTCTTTTGTGTATTTTGTAATGAAAATATCTAAGAGCTCTAGAGCCATTGCATCATTTTTGATGACCCCCCTATCCAGGAGTCACAGAGGAGAGAATAGATGCCTTAGAGCCACAGTAAACAGCTGGAGTAGAGGCTAGAGATTCGTTTAGCATCCTTCACACCCTTTGGGTTGGATTGGCAGGAAAGAGACGTTTACCGTGGCTGTTGGGACAGGCATAGGCATCTGATTGATGAGCCATCATTGATTGCTCGGTGCCTTCAAACTCCCATCATTGCCTTGTAAAAAAAATGTGCTGAGGTCAAACTGTTTCATGCCCTAAGTTTTTAGTTAAGTTAAATAGGAGCGCAGTTTAGAAATGTCAAGAGCGCACAGCTCACCCTACTCTTACACCTGGGAGAAGGAAGGAGAATGGAGCGAGAAGACGGGACTGGGTGAAATTACCGTGTTTGGAAATGCCAGGTCATTTGGTACCACGGGAACTTTTCATCTTCTCTTGATTAATTTCAGGTAATTCTCCTCCTCCCCACTTGGTTTTATGTTCCACTTCTACTCACTCCTCAAAAATGTCTTCATGGGACTTTGTAGTTTCTTGTTATGATATAGAGGAATATGTGTTCAACGGGTAACAGAGTAAGAAACCACAAATAAAGTGCAGTTTTCTCAAAATGGCGTTACAGCCTTTTTAAACCAAGGACAGAGATTCTGTCTCCATCAGCTGTATTTCAATGGTGTCACGCTGTGACACAGGCAAAACCATCAACTTCCTGCCCCCTGTGCTCAGGGATTTGGGAAGGGTGAGGTGGGAGCTGGGGAAGAAGGCCTGAAAGGCTGAGATGTGCCCTAGGCAGACACCTCTGTTCCTCGGAGGTTTCGGGGGGAAGGGGCCATGGCATTTTCCAGAGTTTAGGGTATTTTCAGCGTGTCCCAGAAGCCCCCCAGAATGGGGGCTGTAGTGTGCTGTTAACCAGCTGTCGCAGGGAGAGGTGGGGCCCCGATTCGTAGCTTTTGCCAATTACTGTGGTGTAAATGCTTGCACCACGGGCAATTGTAAGCTATCAATGTGGTGTCACTGAACTGGGACGATAAGTGCACAGCCGCTTATTGTGTAAGCTGGCTCCAGCCAGCCCAAGCGCACCTCCTGGCCTGAGGGCACAGGGGTGACTTTGCCAGCAGCGTCCCCCTTCAGGATACACCAGCTCTCTCAGAGCACTGTCCTTTTTGCTCATTAGACTTGTACTGAATGCTGTGTAAATGTTCTATTCCCTGCTTATGTTTCATGCACTTCAGCTATTCGCAGGCAGGTTGTTTCTCCCTCACAGCCCATCACTTGTTCATTAATGTGGCTTCGAGGCATTTTCCCACACTAATGCCCATTTCCGTTTTGCCTTGCTTCAGTGGGGCTGCCCCTTTCCTCCCCTTAATATATGCCGGGGGAGGCTGGCTCAAGAGCAGGGTCCCTAAGTCAGCGCGATGCTTTGGAGCTAAGCTTCACAGATCATTAACTCACTCCTGGAGTTCACAGCAGGATAAAGATGGAACCTAGCAGGCTGGTCATTGTCCAGTGACCTCAAAACACTCCTTCAGGTCACTCCAGGTTATTGGCACCAGATCAGGGTTGGGAGTCCGATGGGCCTGGAACTGTGGTCACTCATCACGGTAGCCCTTGGACCAGTTACTTATCTGAACGCCGGGTTGCCCACCTTTACAGACGAGGGGCATTGGTCCAACTAGTTGTAAGTCTAGATGCTATTCTCTAAGATTGCAGACTGTGCCTGAAACGTATTAAGTACTTGATAAATGGCTCAAGTGTCCTACCATGCATATTCCCATATTCCTTCTTCAACACATATTTTTTGAGTGCCTAGTGTGCTTGGCACTGTGCTAGGCATATGGTGGCATTTACTGTTTTTACTTCCGAGTTTGGAGATGAAGGCTGGGCATCTCCTCCATGCTCTGTGTTCGGGTTGTTACAGACATTATGCCTTCCTTCCGGCAGTACCCATGCTGCTCCTAGCGGGACAGTTAGAGCTTTCTCAGGCCCCCAGCGTTAGAGGGCCACTGAGGTGGGGTTCGGTAATTGAAATAAAGGGAGCAACAAGAGGAGGTGGCCCACGGAGAAGATAGTTTTTGGCATCCGCTAAAATCGTTCTGTTGTTTTGAGCTACTATATTAGAAGAATATACATGTGTGTACATAAGTACCTTGAATGCATGTGCATATCTTAGTTTTTCCCACCAGATTCAGGGAAAATAGTATGGAAGAAAATCCAGAAGCGATAAGTTAACCCACAGTCACCTATTTGATTTTCAGACATTTTTATTTTAAAATTGTTGTTCTTAGGGCCCAGATTCCATACATTATTGGTAGATGCTTCGGGCAATGTGATGCTATGCTGTGTTGTTATTGGCTGTTATTTTTTACGTTAATTTCTCTCTCACAAAGGCCCCATGAGGCTGGCGTCATCCTTCCTATTTTAAAATGAGGAAACGTAGGGAGGGCCAATGACCGGCCGGGTCACAGAGTGAGCAGACGGCCCAGCCAAACCTGTCCTGGGTTCAGAGTCTGCCTCTTTACCATCCATGGGCTGATGGCCCTGAAGTTTGTCTCAAGGTCTCACTTGTTAAAGAGGAGGAGGAGGAGGCATGGTCCTATTCTAGGGTACCGAACGTTCCTCATTTGCTAGCGGTCACATGGTCATGTGTTGCAGCGTCACACACACAAGGTGCCATTTACTTTCTCTTATTTCTTTCTCCTCCAGTCTAGTGGCTTACTGACCCAAGGCTGACTCTAGGGCCTCTTTCCACTGCTCCCCCGTGGGTGTCCAGAGGATCTCAGAACCAGGATTTGGAGGAGTTTGTGAGGGGACCAGGAGGGATGGGGGAGAACTTGCTTAATCTCCGTTTAAGTTGCCCTCACTGGGGTTCAGGACATCAGTCTGCCTAATAATAAAATGCACTTGGTTTTTCCTCTGCTGTATTTCCCCTTATGCTGTTCTTCCTTGGGGAGCTGATTGGAAGGGGGACTGGGATTTAAGACAGGGTTCAGATATTCCCCAGGTCCCGCCATATATGACCTAAGAGAATGCCATGTCACCAGGAGCCCTCTCCCTCAGTGCTTGCACGTGACCCCTGATGACCACCCTGAATGCGTTTCCCTGGTCCTGAGCTGATGCTCTGGCTGGGCCCTTGGACAGGTGCTGAAATCAGAGACCACAGAAAGTGAGGATGCCGATAAAGGCCCTTGCGGTATTTCCGTCGTCAGTAATACTGTAACATCAGATTGCTCTGAATCCACTTTCCTTCGGTAATTCCATCACCGTGTTCCTGTTGCCCTATAGCACCTGGACTAGTTTCCTATTGCTGTTGAAGCAAAGGATCGCAAACTTGATGGTGGTTTAAAAACAATGCCAATTTATTATCTTTCAGTTCTGAAGGCCAGAAGTCCAAGATGGGCCTCACAGGTTAAAGTCAAGTTTGCTAACCAACCTGAGCTCCTTCTGGAGTCTCTAGGGGAGCATCTGTTGTCTTGCCCTTTCCAGCTTCTAGAGGCTGCCCACGTGCCTTGGCCCGAGCTGCTTCCGCCACCTGCAAAGCCAGCAGCAGCCAGTAGACTCTTTCTCATGTCCTGTCACCGTGACCTTTTCTCCTACCTCCTTCTTAAAAGGATCCTGTGATTACATTGGGTCCGCCCAGATAATCTAGAACAGTCTCCCCATCTCCAAATCCTTACCTGTATCACATCTTTGAAGTCCGTTCTGCCAGGTAAGGTAACATGTTCTCACCTTGCAGGCATTAGGAGGTGCGTGTCTCCGGGGCCCGTACATCTGCTCGCTGCAGTGCCTTTCGATAAGCTTTAGCGTTTTCACCTAGAGAGTTTAAGGAAGCGGTTCTGGGTCACGTGAGCAAGCACCAAGTTCAGGCCCCCTGACTGCTCAACCCAGTGTCCCATGCTATTCCGGGAGATAAATTATTGAATACGATATTGAATTTTCAAGAATGTCAGCCGCCACAAAGGAGCGTGAATACTTTAATGCCTGAAACTCCTCCAGAATATATTGCATTTCAGAAAGAGCAAAGGATGGTCATGATTGATTTTTCAAATTGCTTCTGAAATTCTCTTCTTTTGCTGGGGTCATCATTCCTTATGAGGAAATTACGATTTGGGGGGTTGCAGTTTTTAGGGTGTGCATGCCATATCGATGCCGCGAGTAAATTCAGCTACTTTCCCCCCTGACCTTTTACTATGCATTGCCTCGGAATTGAATGAACTAAAATAAAAATTAAATTCTCTCAGCTTGGATGTCATTTAAGTGGCAAGAGTTACACATTTGGTCTAGATTACATATGTCCATTTGTTCTTGAATTAGCATCACTGTGGCGAAGGTTGGAGTTTTAATTAATGTGGGGGCATATTAATTTTAGTTTAAACATAATAAAAGGATGTTGTCTTCCCTGAATTAGTTTCCATGAGAAAGTACCCGAGAAGGAATCTTTAATTTTATGTTGAATCCTAAGTGTAGCTTTAGATAGTTTGCTTTTGTTCGTTGCATCATATTCAGTCTTTATTGAAGCAGTATCAATTTCACCAAAAAAAAAAAAAAAGGAGATTCTCACAACTTGAGGGTTTTTAACAGATGATCTTAGGATAACACACCATTTTTAGATGATTAATAAGAGATAAGGAAGCTGGCTAAAAAACTAAGCTTCATTGTCCTGTGGCCAAAAAACAAGAAACCTATTTGGTTTTGCCTAAAAAAACAGGGTGCAGTGTGTTGGAGTTTCAGAAAGTAGCATCTGTTTGAGCTGCATTTTCTGTAGAGTAATCTTGAAGTTTAGAATGTGGTGTCTGTTGCTACTCTTTCTGCTGACTCTTTCCCCTGTCTCTGTCAGACCCCCTGTGTTCTCCTGGTCCCCCCTCACCCCCAACATCGGGAGGCTGTAAAGCAGTGGGCGGAAGGCACTAGAGGATGTGCTGTCATCATCTGGGTTAGCTTCCATTTCTGCTAGTGATTCTTTGGGGAGTCACCCACCCATCACCTCAGATGATAGACAAGAAACCCCAATCACAGAACAATGCTCTGTAAGATTCCACTGACGTGGAATTGATTCAGGATATCAAGCATGTCATCGCTGCAGCTGGGACATTCAATTGTGTGATGCAGCCCCATGAGTTTCGTCTGGCTCTTACGGACTTTGTCAGGACAACCCCGTCAGCAGCACAGAGTTTCTGTACCCCCTCGTTAGTGCCCCAGTGAGCCAGAAATAAACATGGCCACCTGAGGACACTGAGTGCTCAGCTCAGTTCTTCCACTGCCTGAATTTATGCTCCTTGGTGGTGTTGGAGAAAACAGATACTCTCGGATATCACTGGATGTGCACCTCCGGGATACAGAAGAGACTGTTTGTGAGGCTTTGGGGACCCAGACAGAGGATGAGGAGCCTGTACAGGAATCTGAATCAGAGGGACAGTTGATGGAAAAACCAGGAATGAGAAGCTTGCGAGGAAGAGATTTGGCTGGAGAATGTGGTCAGCATTGTCATAGAATGCACAGAAGTCACACTGGACGGCAGCATAGCCTGGGGTCAAGGATGTGGGCCCTGGAGTTAGCCAGCCTTGGGCTCAGTTCTTGGCTTTGCTAAGTGACCTCAGAAGGGTTACGAGACCATCCTGAGCCTCTGTATAAACAGCCGATGATGCCTCTATCACAGAGCTACTGTGAAGCATGCATGAGCCATCGGACACAGGGCCGCCCCATAAGCGGAAGATGTGTTCGGTGGTGGTGGTGGTGCCGGCGGTACTAGTAGTAAAATAAAGAGTGCAAGTGCCACTGGATTACGCACTGAGGAAGTCAGTTGAGCTTGACATGCGCAGTGACTGGAGAGTGACTGGGAGAGGGACGTGGTTTGCTATGATGTAAGCTTGCAGGGTTTCTCAACCTCTACTCTACCTCCATTTAGGGACAGATCATTCTGTTGGGGGGCTGTCCCGTGCATCATAGGATTTTTTCAGCATCCCTAGTCTCTGCTCACCAGAGGCCCAGTAGCCCTCCCTAGCTATGGCGACCAAAACTTCCTCCAGACATTGCCAAATGTCCCCCGTCTGAGAGGCGGAATTATCCCTGGTTGAGAACCACCTGCCTAAGTAACGAAGAAAGGCAAGGAAGTGATGACTGCATATTACTTTTCTGGTTTAGATTTACAATCTTAATTTCACTATTTTTTGAATAGGCAATTACACTCACATGGAATAGAATTTAGAAGATTCACGAGTCTGTTTAGTGGAAACTGGCCTTTCTCCCCTTGCCTCCCAGCCAGAGTCCATCCCAGAAGAAGGAGTGGTGCCAGTGTCTTGTGAGCCCTTGGACACGGAGTCTCTTCCCAGAATCCTGGCTGAGAAGGAAAGCGGAACGATAGGGCTGTACCTAGACAGGATAATGGCTCTTTTCCTCCTTGGGTGAGACTGAGCGTATTTATTTGCTGAGGGGAAAGATGACTGCAGAGGGGAGGGGCAGAGCTACAGAGGGGAGTGGGGCTTGGTTGGAGAAAGTCCTAAAGAAAGGAGAGGGTTTGCTGAGATCCAGCGTCAGTGAGTCAAGACACTCGATTAATGACCTACTAGATGCCAGGAACTGGGACCTGAGCAGTGACAAAGCTGGCAAAGTCCCTTCTGTCGTGAAGGTGCCATTGTAGAAGGGAAGACAGACAGTAAACGTTATAGCAATGATACATGATGCAATTTTAGACACTGGGCAGGGCCATGACAAATACAGTCAGGAAATCCTATAGAGAGTTTTGGGGGCTCTGTGTGTTTGGGGGTCGCCTTAGCTAGGAGTGTCAGGGAAGGCTTTCTGAAGAGGTGATGCTGAGTCGAGACTCTAGTGAGGAGGGAAGGGGCAAATGGAGATGGTGGGGGAAGAGCTTCCAAGCAGGCGTCCTGCGAGGGAAGTGAGCCTGCTCAGTGCAGAGACAGCGGAAGACGAGAATGGGGTAGGGGTGCAGGCAGGCTCAGCGAGGGAGGCGGGGCTCAGGTCACAGGGGCCACAGGCCACAGTGCAGACCTGGGGTTTTATTCTGGGTGTGATGGAAAGCCACTCGGCTAAGGAGGATGTGGTGTAGTTAATGACTTTACAAGACCATTCTGTGTATCGGGTGAACAGACCCACCGTGGAGGACCCGTAGTAGCTACCAGGGGACTGGTTAGGAGCCAGTCACTCCCAACTGGGCAAAAGATGACGGGCCTGGGCTGGGAGGGCCACGGGAGGCAGCGGGACGCTTGGTGGTTTGAGCGAGAGCGACCATCGTGGGGCACAACACCTGCTGGACTGGCATCTCAGACTGGAGTGCAGGGCAGAGGCCTGGGCTGGAGATGCAGATGGGACAGTCACCAGCTTACAGGGTCTCTGTACAGTGCGATGCGTCCCTTAGGAATCGGGAGGGAAGGCAGAGGCGCAGAATGGCTGGGCACCCAACAGGGGGTCATGGCCTGGGGGTGCGCAGCAGCCAGCAGAGGGGCGGAGAAAGAGGGCCCAACAGGAGAGCCGGGGAGCAGGTGGGCGGGAAGGTCGCGGAGGTTCGAGGACCGCGGTGCTCGGGGGCGCGGCGCCTGTGCCCAGCGAGAGCATGGAAGCTTGAGGGGCTTTCCAGAAACGTCTGTCACTGTGCCTGAGCAGTCACCATTTAAAATATATGTTAGTTTATTATACAGCACATTCCACTTATCCCATCAGCCAAGGGAATTGTGTGACTCATCTTATTTGGCACCTAAAATATGAAGTATATACAGTCATCTGTTGGTATCCCCGGGAGATTGGTATCAGGACCCCCGTGGACACCAAAATCCACGGATTCGCAAGTCCTTTATGTAAGACGGCGTAGTGTTCGCATATCGTCGACACACGTCCTCCTGTGTGCCCTCAGTCATCTCTAGATCACCCAGACCACCTAATGCAATGTCAATGCTGTGTCAGTCGTGGTGTTGTTTAGGGAATAACGACACAAAAAGAGTCTGTTCATGTTTAGCACAGACACAACCATCTGGGCCTGACGACATTGCACAGGTCAGCAACAGCGTAACTCCTTTTCGAATATTATCAATCCACGATTGGTTGAATCCACAGATGGGGAACCCATGGATATGGGGGGCCGACAGAATTAAGCCCTCTGCACATGCTCATTCAATAAGTGAAAAAAAAAAAAACATTGTTTTAAAATCCCTGCCCTGAAAAACATAACCCGTTGCTATCCTGCTCCAGCACTAAGGTAAGCTTGAGTGACTGTGAAAAACATGCTCCTTTGATTTGCAGGGTTTGGCTGGAGGGCGGAGCTGCACACTTCGCTGCACTGCCAACGCTCCTCTCTGCCTCTGTTTGTGCTTTCAGGGGGTCTGAAGTGCCCGGTGTGCAGCTTCGTATACGGCACCAAATGGGAGTTCAACAGGCACTTGAAGAACAAACACGGCCTGAAGCTGGTGGAGAACGAAGGCGAGCCCAAGTGGGAGGTAACTTTTTAGAGCTTGGCATTGACCTTGACGTTTCTCAGCACACACACGCGAAGCAGTCAAGCCCAGGCATCGGGCTCGGAGAGCTGCTCCTCGGAGCTTTGGGTTTTCTGGTCGGGAAACTGAGACAGCTTTTTAAATCAAGTGTCACATCTGAGGGGCATAATGGGGTGAGGTCTGGGGCCATGCGTGTGATTTCTTACTCTGGGTTGTATTTGAGCTGTTTTGTGACTGTGTGTATTGGTCTTATTGACATTTTCACTTCTGTGAGTCACAAATCCGGAGTTTTACATGTTGTGTCTGAAAGAATACAAGGCCCAGAGTATATGACTTACCAGTCCTCAACAGCGGAACAGGGAAAGGCCCTGGTTCTCCGTTCTGGGCCCGATGCTCCCACCACTGAAGGCATGTGCTCCTACCCGCCATCTTTTTGTCTCCCTCAGGTGTAGGGACCAGCCTCCTAGCTGAAAACATCAGTAGCCTCTCTCTTTTCAAATACCAGGAGTCACTACCACGGACTAATTACAGTTTCGCTAAGCCAGGGCATCTCATCCTCAGCACCTCTGAAATCATCATCTGGGTGATTCCTTTTCATAGGGGGCTGTCCTATGCGTTTTGGGATGTTCAGTAGCATCTTTGACATCTAACAACGAGATACCATTAGCATCTCTAGTTGTGAAAACCAGAAATATCATGATATTGCCAGTGTTCCCTAGGAGTCAAGATCACCCCTAGTTGAGAATCACTTACCTAAGGACTGTCTGAGCCATCAGAGCATCCAGTGGTTAAGAGTATGGGTTTTTAAACAAGTCCAACAACACATGGAAAAAATCGTACCTCATGACAACGTGAGGATTGTTCCAGAATGTAAGGGAAGAGTGGCTCAGTCGGGGGATATGTTGGTATGATCCACCATAATAATAGAACTAGAGAGAAAAATGAAACGATCATCTTCATAGGTGCCAGAAAGGCATTTGATGAAATTCAGCATCTGTTGATTAATAACAGTCAGTAAAGTGGAATTTGATGAATATACCTTTAAGATGAAAACCAAAATATATGTGTCTCAGCCCAAAAGCCAGCATCTTACTTCATGGGGTGACACTAGGGTGTTTCTAGCTCAAGTCGAGAAGGAGACGGATGCCCAGGGACTCTGCCCTTGAATGTCACATGGGCGGCATCTGCTAGGGTGTTAGACAAGGCAAAGTAACTAGACACATATGATTCAGAAGAGAAGAAATACAGTATCTGTATCTGTAGATGACAGGATCACATTTTTGGAAAATCCGAAAGAATGAATGAAAAACTATACATAATAAGCAGATTAAAGCATCAATATACCATAATCAGTAGCTTAGATAAAGAGCCTAGAGCAAAAAGGAGCAGAGATTCAAATGGAAAAAACTGATGTTTTACAAATACCAGGAGAAGACAGAAGTGAATTCATTTATAAATTGAGAGTGTGGGGAACTTGCCTAATTATAACTCTAAATCCAGATTCAATAAGGGAAAAGATTAAAATAAATTGGCTATGTGAAAAAAAAAATTGAAGTCTTATAGAAAAGAACTCATGGAGACAAATGACAAAATAAGTATTTTCAGTCATATCATGGAAAAAGGATGAATATCTTTACATTATAAAAGGCTTCTAAAAATAGTAATGAAAAAGATCAACAGCCCAATAGGAAAATGAGCAAGAGATAAGAAAGATTCATAGAAAAAGAAATGCAAATGACCTTGAGTATCTGAAAACATGATCAGCCTCACACATAATAAATTTAGTTAATTAAAACTAGACAGAGCTAGAATTTCTTACCTATTAGACTGGCAAGAATCCAAACATTTGACTTTATCTCTGTTGGAGGCTGCACTCTTCATACATTGCTGGTGGAGAGGCAACCTCTATGAAGGGGAATTTAGTAATAACTAGTAAAGTTACGTATGCGTTTGTTTGTCTGTTAGCCTAACAACCCCACCATTAGAAAAGCACCCCAAGGCTGTACTGACAAAAATGAGAAACTGTCTGCACAAGGCTTATATTGCAACACCATTATGTGTATATAGACTCTGTGTGTGTGTGTCTGTCTGTCTGTCTACACCAATAATAATTAGATGCAGAATTAATTCTAATATATACGTATACATAGTGTATTTCTTAGGTTTTTGTGCTGAGAAGCAGTGACACGCTAGGGACAATGAGCACACTTAGTGCCCAGTTCTTGGTTTCTAACAGGCTTCTTCAATAAAAGGAACCAGGGCCCCTTCGAAAAGCAGTTGATTTCAGGGCTGAAGCAGAAAATATGTAAGATGATCCTGCTGTATTTTATGGTCCTAGAAACTGACAACATGTTTAAAAAAAAAACCGCTGGAGGCATGTCAAAAAAATACACAAGACATGAGACAACCCGAAGAATTCCCAATGGCCAGAGCCGGAACAATTTGAGTAGCAAAATAAATAGTGTTGGACTATAACTCAGAATAAAATAAATGTCTGTGAGTCCATACAGATGTAAATCTATGAACGAATAAATAAGTAAATGGAGGGGAAGGAATGGGCTTTCCCCACAGAAGAACTCCGATGAATAAATGTAGAAGGAACATGCAAACTAGAAAATTAACACTAGAACACCACGGTAATAACTGGAGCAGGCCAGATCATCGATGAAAGAGAATATTTATATAGCCTCAGAATGCCTCCCCCAAATATTTGTTAATCACAGAGGGAAAAGCAGTTAACGTCGCAGTAGAGGCGCCTGGCCGTCACCACCGGAACCAGGTGACTGGAGGTTAGCCTTCCTTGGTAACAAGTCATAGTGACATCATGTACCACCTGATGAGATGAGAAGGATGCTTCACCGCATGGTGCTCTTCCAAAAGCTCCTCCACCTCCATCTAATCTTGAGCAACCACCAGTCATATCTAAAGGGGTCACAGCTGACCTTCTAGAAGGTCGCTTAGGTATTATGATGTGTGTGGTCCACTACCTGACCTCCAAAGTGTCAAGGTCACAAAAAACAAGGAAAGACGGAAGAACAGTCACTGGTTGGAGGAGACTACCTAGATGTGAGGACTAAATGCACTGCAGGATCCTGAATTGGATCCTGGACCAGAAAAAAAGGACAGCAGGGAAAGAACGCATGGAATCTGGATAAAACCTATAGTTTAGTTAATAGTAGAGTACCAGTGTTAATTTCCTGGTTTCGATCATGACACCATGCTTGCATCAGCTGTTAACACGAGGGGGAGCTGGGTGAAAGGTATTGGGGGCTCTCTGTATTACCTTAGCAGCTCTAACGTCAGTCTAAAAATATTTCAAAATAAAATGATTGTAACAAAAGGGGGCATCACCTGTGGAAAAGGTAGGGCGATAAGATGGAGGGGATGAGAATAGACGCTACACTTCCCCTAGCATACCCAGTAGTGCAGATTGGACTCTGAAGTCATGGAAATACATTCTACAATAATAAAAACAAAATTAAAGTTTAAAAAACGCAAACCCTAAAAATTCAGAGTAAAATGAAGCACGTCGTCCTCTCTGTATATCAAAAAGTTTGCACAGATGTATTTTCTGTGTCCAGTTTTGATTCTCCTATCCCTCATGTAAAAATAAGGACAGCATGAGTAGCTACGATTTACTGGGCTCGTACTGTGTGCCAGGACCCGTGCTACAAGTGTTATGTATGATCTGTAACTACCCACCCTCTCCTCCCGTCCACCATCACCACCGCCATGCCCATCCTCTGCCGGCCACGTGGCATGAGGCTCCGGACATGGGGAAGGTTAGCGGCAGTGCTGACGGCAGGGGGAGGAGGCCAAGGAGCCATTAGAGGAACACATGCGAGATTCTCTGAGCCTCTCTCATCCCTAATTCTGAAAAGCACAGTCTGTTCCCTAAGGCAGGAATACGTAGCAGGAAGCTTTCCACCAAAGCTGGTTTTAAAAGGTCTGGTTATTCGCCAAGGTTTCTCTTTGGGAAATACAATATTATTGGAGCAGCTGATTTCTCGGGGTGCCAGGTAAATGAGATGTTGCGAAGTGTTGCTTGCGAGCGTCTGTTTTGCCCTCCTTCGTCATCCCGGGACGCCTGGGTAACCGTTGGTCTCCTAGAAGCTCACTTAGGTATTATGTTTTCACTCAGCCAGCAACAGAAATGGCTGAGGAGCCCTCCACCCAGTACCTGCACATCACAGAAGCCGAAGACGTTCAGGGGACACAGGCAGCCGTGGCCGCACTCCAGGACCTGAGATACACATCTGAGAGCGGTGAGAGGGCACGCCCTGTCTGCCTTTGACACTCACAGCCGTCTGGGGTAGAGCGGGAGCCCTGAGGAACGCGTGGGATCTGTCTGTTGTCCTTCAGTGACCTGCTTCCAAATTCTTGCCCCGGCGTTCAGCCCGTGGACGTGGTCTGGGGTCAGGCGTGGAGGCCTCTGCCTCTTGTAGACCTACAGCACACAGAGTCATGTCACAGAGGAGGGCTCCGTGGCAGCGCCCCACATGTCACCACAGCCAGTCCCCGGACTGCGCGGACGGCAGGGCTTACTGCTCTTACAGATGCAGAAGGTCCCCCAACAGTAGGCGCTTGGCTGAGAATCCCCCACTTTGGGGTATTGGAGCTGGTCCTGGAATCTAGGTTTCCTGCCTTCTCATCGAGGCATTGTCCCCACCCCATGCTTCCTCGTGGTCACCTACTCCAGGGGGCTTATTCCAGAGCCAGCAGGGGCCGGGCAGGCAGGCGGCGGTGGCGTGGCCGAGGCTGGGGCACGGTCGCTTGCCTCGCCAGCGGCACCGGTAGAGCCGTGGGCCCAGGGCTGCCTGCTTCCCACATCTAAAAAGCCCCACATTAGGACATTAATGTCACATGTCATTATTTTCAAATGTCAGACCAATTTTTAAAAAACAAACCATTATGCCAGCCTATTGGTGATTTGAGCATTATGCTGAGAAAACATTTTCTTAACGTTCTTTCCAGAATATGAAGAGAACCCAAGTTAATGTAACAGCACAGCCCTGTTTGTGTTTGGGGGGCAGAGGACAGGAAAGGGGGCCAAAGAGGAAAGCATTAAATGGTGACAGGAGGTCGCAGTTAGGAAATCACCATTCGGGGCCCGTTCTCGAATCCCTAAACTCCAGATTGTAAGAAGCCCGCGCAGAAAACTCCTGTGGGCCGGTACTTTAGGGACGATGAATTGGCAGGGCTGTGCTTAGTCCGCTGAACATGGGGGACTCCCGGAGGCAGGGCCCCTGCTTGGCAGCCTGTCAGCGTGGCGGGGCTGCTGCTGGGAGAGTCGAGCCCCTGCTGTGGAATGCGGTTCCCAGAGCTGAGGCCTTGTCTGAATCTGAACTCCGTTCCTTCCGTCACGCTCAGTGACTGCGGGTTGCTCGGGCAGCACGTGTGTCTTCCTCCCCGCACACACACTCACTCCTGCCTCTGGGGCGTCTCTGCTATCTGGGGTCTCTCCCTGGCTTTCAGAAGACAGTTTAGACTTTGCAGCTCACAGGCCAGGCCCGCTGGCTCAGGGTCCTGGGCGGCCCCACTGCACCTCTTGCCACCCCACCTCTGAGCTGTGCTCCCCTCCGCCAGACCCTGCTGTTCTCAGCACGGATGGCACTCCTCGCCCATGCACTCCAGTGCCCTCTGGAATGTGGTCTGCCCCCACCTCCTCCCCACAGCATTCTTTTCCTAGCAAACTTCATCTTCAGGATTCAGATGGCACATCATCTGCCGGGAACCCACCCGCCTCTTGTACGGTGCCCCCCCCCCCCCGAATTGCCTTCCCGATACGGAACTGTCCAGGTGCTGTAAAGAATTTGCTAACGAATCTATCTTGGTAGCCTGAGAGGCCTGGAGGGAGATAGTGTCAGACCTTTGTCTGTAGTCCCACTGGGAACCCCGTCCCAGCTGACACTTAGGCTTGATAAATTGGTCATGGAGGGAGTAAATGGGCAAGGAATTAAACCTTATCTCGGTAATTCTTAAGGTAAATGTTTTATTTAGTCTTTGGATGTTGAGAGTGGCTGGCTGCAAGGCGCAGCTGAAATACCTCTTTAAGGGAGAGAGAGACACAGAGAAAGAGAGAGGGAGGGAGTGTGTGTATTGGGGGATGCTGGGGGGTGCATTGTGAATGTATTGAAGTCATAGCATCATTGCCTCAGCCAGTGCCACATCCCGCCCTCTTTGTGAAACACGTTGAGTTTGCCTCCTCCCATCTCTTGTTGATGGACTCCCATTGGAACATGGCCCACAGACAGCGTGTCCGTCAAGATGCACACCCATCAGGATGCACACGTTGGCAGAGACTTCCTCACATTATGCTAACATTTCCCTTTTAGTGAGTGAACAGTCAGGGTCAGGGTGCCATGTTCAGGAGGCTCGCAGATGGTCAAGCAGATGGTGAGAGCAGGCAGGGTACACCCAGTAGCCACCCTGATAATATGGGTTCCAATCCTTTGAGATGATTAAAATAGAACCCCAAGCTTAACCTGGTTTGGAATCGCAAAGCCCGCTGGTTTGATAATTGAGACGTCATTGGGCGTTTGCTTATAACTTGTGTGATTTATTGGCACACCCACCATCCGTGTGCTCAACGGAAGCTACCCCTGCAGCTTAACGTGTTGGCTGCTCCTCGGGGGCTGTCTTCTGAGAGACACTCTTGTGCCACCAAGTTAGGACTCAGAACATCTGGGCTTGAGCTCGGGCTTTGTGGTGTCACTGACCCAGGGGCCCAAGCCAGGCCTCTTGGTGTAAGAGACTCGTCGATGTGCGGGGGTAACTAATGTATGACATGGGGGTAACGTTACAGTGTCGTCTCCTCACAGCGTTGTTTAGGGTTTCGAGATGTTCTTGTAGAAAGTGCTTTGTTGGTGATAAAGGAACCGAGTGAATGATTTCTGGTATGGAAATGAGCTATTACTGAGAACGCGTGCATCCCCCGGAGGAGGCACCACCCTGACTGGCCTCTCCTGTGGGCTGGCTTCGTGTTCAGTGACCATCAGGCCAGCGGCCCTGATGGTCTCCCACCTGCTTCCTCCTCCTAAGGTGACCGACTCGACCCCACAGCTGTAAACATCCTTCAGCAGATCATCGAGCTGGGTGCCGAGACCCACGATGCCACTGCGGTTGCCTCGGTGGTTGCCGTGGCTCCAGGGACGGTGACCGTGGTGAAACAGGTAAGGACCCTCCCCCCACCACCACTGCCTCTTAAAGATCACCTCATCTCACTGCCACCCACCCTCTTTCTCGCCCCTCGTGGCTTCTCCTTACCTCCCAAATTAGAATTTGGAATGCATTTGGTCTAACCTCGTGCATTTCTTATTCTTCCTCTGGTTATTGTGGAATTGTATTTTCAAGAGCTCCGTAGGTGGAGGTGTGTCATAGAGGAGAGGTGTAATATATTTTTGAAAGTTCTGGAGACTTTTCATTCATTTCCTTTCAAAGAGCCCCAGAGTGACAGTGAATGTGATGTGGACACATGTGGACACATCTATCGTGAAAAGCACCCTTGGTGCCTAAAGCACCCACGAGTGGGCCAACTGGGAGCTGTGGGCACAGCCAGAGGAGCCAGGAGGGTTCCCAGTGGACTGGCCTTTTTAAATATCAAACATCACCCTCATCAAAGCAACACAGAATGACTGAGCTGATAAGGACAAAAGTGATCAAGTTCTGAATAAAGGCTCCTCTACTTAATCGTGACCCTGTTTGGCTCCTTTCCCCTTCTGTCCTCTGAGACTATTATCTGTTAAAATGCAGCACGTTCGATAATTGGATTATCTTTTTTTCCCTGTCTATACTTATCTATTATCTCCTGCTTCATTTGACAAAAGATTTAGGCTGGCTTACACAAATACTTAGAAGAAAACAAAACAAAACATAGTAAGCACATCAAATTCGCATGCCCCAGGGCATATAATTTAGAATCAAAGGTCAAGTTCATGGAGAAAGTTAGAATCCACATCATAGCGTTTTACATAGTTATCCGTTCTGCGCGTCATGCAGTCAGTAAGTGTTTAGTAGGTGCTTGCTCTTGTCAGGCAGTGTCTCCTGGGTCCAGGCGAGAGCTAATGTCTGCCATCAAGGCAGTTGCTCTCTAGTGGGCAAAAAGGTAAAACCCAAACAAACAAGTGAGACAGAAAAGATGTCAGATGACGAAGCAGCACAGTGGAGAAAAGTGAGAGGAGGAAATGGGGAGCAGCGGGGGCTATTCCGTAAAGGGTTCTGGGGACAGATTTCTGGCGTTTGAACAGAGACCTGGAACAGGTGTGTGTTATCAGAGCTAGCCAAGCTCAAGTATAGACTTGGTGCTGAATTTCACAACAAAACAAGAAGGAAACATGAAACAGTTATCAGCAAAAGGCTCCCTATCAGTAGCAAATACAGATATTTCTTAATGTGGTTCTCACATGGGGACCTCTGTGTGACCTGTGTGTCCCCAGCGACCTGTCTCTGACGAATCAGAGGTTGGCGTCCCTGTGCTGTCTCCATGGCTGTCCCCCTAAGTGTGCCCAGGGCACCACACAGAGCATGAAACTCAGGTTAAGTAATTCTGTGGGGAATTCTGGTTCAACTCCGGATTTCTTGATCCATAGAGAAGACTTAGCACAGCTAGATGAACGTTCGGACTGTGTGTCCTAGAAACCCTCCTCCGTTAGATGGCTTTTCTGAGAGACCCTACCCTGAAGTCTGGCAGCAGCAGTTTGATGTTTGGGTCTAGAAGAGCCCCGCGGTTCCGCACTGGTTGGGACAGATTCATCCACTTCCAGGCTAAGCACTTGCAGCTTTTCTTGGTGTTCACTAGATTGTAGTCTCAGTCTGTCTCATCCATCTCTTCTGAAACTTCCTTTGCATCTTGACATGTGGCATCCTGAGCTAGACTCGGCACTTCATGCGGGGCCTCCTCGGGAGGGTGTCAGGAGAACTTTGGACGTTCCCGACGTGACAAATCCTTTTGAGAATTGCAGGAAGGTGCTACCGATTGTGATTTGCATCTTCTTTCTAGGAACTGGATTGATTTGCTGCTACTCAGGGACATGGCTTATTGAGCACCGCAGGCAATGCAGTGAGACGTGAGGTTGCGGGTTTAGGATACAGCTTAGATGTGCTTCCAGGCATTAGACTGACAGCGCGCCAAGGGGTAAGGCAGATAAGCATCCGGTGCAACCAGCATAAACAGGTACGACATGTTCGCAGTAGCAGAAGACAATGGCACCCTTCAGAGAAGCTTCGGGCTCACTGAAAACAGGCCTAAGAGAGGGACTGTTTGGAAACGTTCCCCGAGGACGTGTGTCCTAGTCGTTATCCTGTCTGCCTGGCCCGGCACCGAGTTCACTGAGCCTGTTGGGAAATGATGGATGGGAGCACGGCTGGGTGGACAGATGGGTGGGTGGGCATCCAATACCCACACCCGTGGCAACATGTAGGGCTCTCCTGGGTGAAAGGACAGCCCCTCATTCCACTTGGCCCATTACTGAAATTTAACTATAGCTGTATTTATTAGAGAAAATTTGTTGCATGTTTCTTTTTTTTCTTCTCACTAAACTCGGGTTTAGGGTTTTGCAGTAGAGGAGTTATATCTGTATAATGAGTGTGCTGAAGTCACTTAAATGTGCACTTGGGCACCCTTGTTGGGAAACTGTAACCCTTGCACCATGCGGAGAGCCCCTTGACGTCAGGGTTCGTCTTTCTCATCTCAGCATGTCATATGTGGTGGCTGAGTCTGTGTTTATTGAGTAGGATTGAGTGTGCTGTGGGTTTCATGTTTTGATTCGCCAACTATATCCTGTAAATTATATTCTATAAAGAAAAAAGCAAGAACACCTTGTATAAACCACATGCTATGTATTGCAGAAAAAAATGTTAAAATGACTATTGATAGCATTTTTGAGATCTTTTCAAAGTTTCCTGATAAATACATATTTCCGCAGGGCCAAAACCAAATTCTAGGTTGTCCGTGAATTGGTTCTGGATGTTAAAAAATGTCAAGATTTCTTTCCCAAATAAACAAATAGTTGCATGCTGTTAACACTTTCATTTTTTCCCCCATGATGTATTAATGCACAATAAAAAAGAATCGTATACATCAAAGTTTTTCAATGACATGTGATTAATGAAAGTGATTAATCTCCAGTCTTTTTGGATGAAAATAATGGCAGGCCTGGTGGGTAGGCTGAGGGGGTTGGAAAAAAACCTGTTTCTTAGGCTGTTTTCTTCTTATTTTTAAATAAGACATGGAAAAGATTTGGCTCAGAATGCAGACCATTGAAATGTTCAGTTGGACACAGAAACATGTCCTCAATGATTTCCTGTCACTTCTCTCTTTTCTCAAGTGCGAGCATAAAAAGTAGATTCGTGGGGATGGAGCGTTTTGAAATGTTCAGAAAGCAGAGCCCTGGTATGTACCTCACCAGCCTGGCTGAAGGAAACACGTGAGAACTTTGAATGCAAGTAATCGTGCGTCTGTTATGACCCAGTGGTTTTCATTAAATACATTTTTTTTCTTTTTGTTAAATCTTTTATGAAGAGGAAATTTATTATTTGATTAATAAAGCTGCCTAAGGAGGTTAAATATAAGACCTACCAACATAGGAAATATTATCATAAGCATCTCAGAGTAAAAATTTGTTATTTAAAGGAAAAGCAAGACTTAGAGGGAATAACACCAACTGTTGTAATCACTGGCTCGTGGCCTAAATCACCCTTTGTTGGTTTTATGGATTAAAATTTATTTTAGGGAGGGAAAGTCCCATGTTATTTAGCGATTTGCAGAATTCATTTAGCAGACGTTTACTGCACACCACTCTGTGCAGTCCATAGGACCATCAGTTTCCTGTGGCAGCTGCAACAAATTGCCACCAACTTAGTGGCTTAAAACAACACACATTTATGATCTTACAATTCTCGAGGTCAGCAGTCGGAATGGATTTCACTGGGCTAAAATCAAGGCGTCGACAGCTGCATTACTCCTGGGAAGGATTCCTTTCTCTCCTTCTGTAGCTTCTAGAGGTGTCCGCCATTCCCGACTCCCAGTACCCTTCCTCCATCTTCAGAGCCAGCAGCTGCAGGCCCCCGCTCATCCCATCCCATCCGCCGGGGCTCTGCTTCCGGTGCCACATGGTCTTCTCTGAGCCTGACGCTCCCGCCTTCCCCTTCTGAGGACCCCTGTGCTTCCACTGGGCCACTTGGGTAATCCAGGGTCATCTCCCCATCTCAGGATCCTCAATGTAGTCACACTGACAAAGTCCCCTTCGTCGTGCAATGTAAGATCCTCAGGTTTCCGGGAGAGCTAAGACAGGTCCTGCTCGCAAGAGACAAATAGTCCATCAAGGGAAATGATTGATTCTCTTGCTCAGTAAACACCCCCTGAGCTGGTCTACCTGCCAGATGCTGTTCTCGGCACCTGGCATACTGCAATGAACAAAGCAGAGAGAGGTACCGTAGAGGAGCCTACATTCTAATTGTGGGAGAGAGCTGATGTGCGTACATATCATAAAAAAGTAAATAAAGAGGGGAAATTGAAAACCAGAACAAGGAGAACCAGGCAAGAGGTGTGAAAAATGCGAGCCCCAAGCAGGCAGTTCCGTACTAACGTGATGAATGCGTCAGGGTGGGCAGCCGGCCAGGGGCCCAAGAGCTCTGTGGGAGTGCCGGGGGCTGGCCCACCTCGAACCTGGGCCTGGGTAGGGGCAAGTGCTAGGCAGGGAGGGCGTCCTGGATGTCCAGGTGCCTAAACAGTCTTGGAGGGTTGCTGGGTGTTGGGAGGGTGCAGGGCTCCCGGCAGAGGTGGGACTCATTCCTACTGCACCACGTCCCGCTGACTGACTATCTCGGAAGTGACAATAATTAGCAGTGCTCTGTCGGCAGGCCTGTGACTGTGTCCCCATTCTTGGTTCCCTGCAGTGTCCCCCAGGATTGTCGCTCTTCTGTTCCTTGTTTTCCCTCCATGTACTGGATGCTTCCAAGCTGTCAGCCAGTGCCCCAGTGCGGGGCCACCAGGAAGGCGCAATGAAGACCACCTCAGACCTGCAGGCACCTTCCTGCTTCCCTTCCGCTGACCCTCAGCCTGGCACGATGCAGAATTATGCCGCCATAATCTTGTTCCAAATCCCAAGTGCTCGTCCTACTTGCTTTAACTGATGGTTCAAACAAACAGAAATTATAGCTTCACCCAAAGCAA